AGGTTTTCTTCTAATATGTAGATGCCTTCTAGTGGGCAGTCACAGTACAATTTGGGAAGTTTGCTAAGCGGAGACCCAAGGCAGTCTGCTATGGTCTGGGCCTCTACTGTAGGGCAGAGAAATCTAGTCTTGGCAAAGTGGAAGGGGCAACATGTCCCAGTGTAGGGGGTTAGGTAAGGTGTTACCTGTGGAAGCTTACCACCATGCAGAGGCTGGATCTAGGCACTTTCAGGTGGTCTGCTAAGGTCTCAGATCCTACTGCAGAGCAGAGAAATGTAGTCCTGTTTAGAAAAAAAAAAATACGTGTATGAGTGTTTTCCATGCCTGTAAGTGCATGCGTGTTGTGCAAAGGCTGCAGATGTCAGAAGAGAATGTTGGATCCCCTGGAAGTGGAGTTATGGATGGTTAACTACCGTGTGGGTGCTGGAATCATCCCAGGTCTTCTGTAAAAGCAGCCTGTGCTCTTAATCACTGAGCCATCTCTCCAGACTGCACAAGACATTTTCTTTTTGGTGTTTTGATACAGGGCCTTTTGTAACTCCATTGGTCTCATATTTGACAAAGGACCGAGGCTGGTCCTGAACTCATAGATCTCCTGCCCATGCATCCCACTTTCTGTGACTAACGTCATGTTCTACCACACTCAGATGGTGAGATAACTTCATTGGTCAGATCATTTATCTAAAGTATCAGTTGTTCTTTCCTCTCCATTTAATACTTCTTTTATCAGGCCTTTGTTCGCCTGTTGCTGCATTTGACTCTCTGGTGACTTTATCTACTACCGTGTTTTAATTGTGATTCAAATGCACTCATAATACATCTTCCTATAATGTGTTTCCATACTTTGAGCGAAAATTAAGCCAAGATGTCAGAAATCATGATGAGACAAGATAGGACCTGGATTAGAGGAAGAAAATAGATGCAATTATATTTTTAGAAATAAATAAAACTGAGTCACTATTACGGAAATATTTACTTTCTCTTGGAATGACTTTTCCACATTTTGGCATATAATACATGGTTAGATACAATTCAAGATTGGTAGTGACTGTGGTTAAAATAAAGATATGAATTTGGAACTTTGTATCCTTGATAGTATTTAATATAGTTCCCATTGTATCTATATGTGGAATTTGTAAGAAAATGAGAAAAGAGTACCAGAATTTCATTGTTAAGAAGGCAGGTTAGGAGGCTGGAGAGATTGCTCAGTGGTTAAGACCAATGGCTGTTCTTGCAGAAGCCCTATGTTCAATTCCCAGCACCCACATGGTGGCTAATAACTGTCCACAACTCCAGTTCCAGTTCCTACGCCCCCTTCTGACATGCAGATATTGCATGACATGGGTGCACTTACATACATGTAGGCAGTACACTTGACATAAAAATCACAAGATAAATAATTTTTTTTTAAAAAAAGAAGGCAGAGTAGAAGTTTTCTTCGTGTTACCTTCATGGACTAATTAAGACTAACAAAAGAGATAATATAGTCCCAGGAGAGATGGGAAAGTGTTATCCAGGCTAATCATGCATGCTTGTAATGCTAGCATTCAGGTGGCAGAGGCAGCCAGATCTCTGGGAGTTCAAGGCTATCCTGGTTAACATAGTGAGTTCCTGGCAAGCTTGGGCTATAGGGAGACCTTGTTTCAAAAATGAATTAAAAAATAATTTTCAAAGTGAATTTAACCCAGCACTCAGTGGGAGGCAGAGGCAGGCGGATCACTGTGAGTTCAAGGCTAACCTGGTCTGCATAGCAAGTTCCAGGCCAGCTGGGGCTACAGGGAGACCCTGTCTCAAAAATACCCCAAACAGAACAAAAGCAAACAAAAACCAAAACAAAGTGAATTTAAAATAAATTAAAAAAAAAAAAAATCTCAGAAAAGTGTCAGGGTTCAGGTGTGGTGACATATGCCATTAATTCCAGCACTGGAGAGGCAGAGGGAGGCAGATATCTCTTTGAGCCTGAGGCCAGCTTGGTCTGTATAACACTTGAGTACAGGGAGACCCTCTCTTAAAAAAACAAAAGCAGCAGACAGTCTGAGAGTGCCTGATTTGGCCCTTTCTGGGTGTAGGGGCTGAAACCTTGGCAGACTGCCTAAGAGTACCTGGATCTAGCCTCTATGTGGTGTAGATGGAATCCTACTGAAATGGGCCAGCAGCCCATGAAAAACAGATGATGCAGAGATCTCTAAGTTCATTGTCTTTCCACAATAGGAGAAGATCACCCCACACCTATCCTTCCAGAGCTCAGGGTCTTTTTTGGAAGAGGTTGTCAGAAAGAATATTAGAGCCAAAGGAAGGAGTGGTGCCCCGGCCCGCGGGGTCAGCAACGTGGAGTACCTGGATTGGGGAGTGGGAATGTGGATGGGGCAAGAGAAAGAGAAATGGAGACAAGACAGGGTTCTGATCAAGTCTCGTTTATTGCAGCTCAAGCATGGGGTTAAATAGAGAATGAAAACAAAGGAGCAAAGAGTGAGTAATCATATCAGCCAGAACACAGGGGCCCAGATATACCCTAAGGGAGGAATCTGAAAGGAGAACAAGGCTGTGGGCCAAGGCCATGGGCCCAGGGCCACGGGCTCTGTCCTGTGCCTGTGGGAGGATGGTGGGCAGAATGGAAAGTCACCAACTCAGGTCTGTCAGCAGTTTTGAGAAATGGCTGAGCCTCAGGCTCCCAACAGAGTGGAGTATCAGGTGGAGTGTCCACTGGAAGTGTCCTCCGACCACTATGAAGTCAAACTATAGTTACACCTCCTTCCCACACTTGTCAAGTAGTCAGTGGGGGAGTCAGTTATCCCTCCCACACAATCAGTAGACCTTAGCTACATGTGGGGGAGGGTCAAAGGATATATAAGCTGAGAATGCCATGAGGCACCTCTCTTGCCATTTTGTGCCATCTGTCGGGAAGTCACAGGATCTGTATTTGGGTGTGGACTTTATAGTGCAGCTGTAAATGGAAGGGGGTGTTTACTCTTCTGTAAATAAACCCCCACCCTATGCTCTGTTAGCAAACTCAATAAACTCATTAGGATTTAAAACAAAACAAAACAGAGCTAATGGAAACCTTCATTATTCCACTAAAGTTGACCCCATGTTGGCAAATCTTTTGATAAAGATTTCTTATTCCTATTTTAACCCCTTAAACTTCATTGTGCATACATTTTTATGTAAACTGCTTCAAGTTATTTCTTTTAAAGTTATGTTAAAAATTGCCTCTCTTTGGAATAATAAGAAAACAAAAACAAAAGCAAAGTGGTAGCTGTACAGCCTAAAAGGGAAAGATCAAAAGACAATGCAGAAAAAAATAGTATAGAGGCCATACTTAAGTCTGGTGATCCAGATGGGAGCAGAATTCAGAAGGCACCGTGTTACTGTAAACACGTAGAATCCAGAATGCCCTGATGCTAAACAAGCTGACATTAATGACCACTCAAAAACCTTTGTTTCTATTTTGGAGTTGGAACATGTGGTGTTTCCTGTCACCTGGGCTGGTCCCAGACTCTCCAAGTAGTCAGGGTTAACTTTGAATGTGTAACCCTTTTGTCTCTACCTCCTGTTTTGTTGGACATGAGGTATATACCACTATAGTTGGTTTGATGTGGTTCTGTGGCTCTAACCCAGGGCTTTTTCCATGCTCAGAGGTCACTCTCTTTGAACAGATTACAAACCAAACTCCTGGTTCTTGCAAGTTCAGTTGTGTCGAGTGATTTCATCTGGGATGCTAGCTTTAGAGAACAAATTGATTTTATTTATCCACCTATCATTCAGTGCAGTTTCCATACACTCTCTACTCCTTAGACATGAATACAGGGAATAGTAAAAATCCTAGGAAGTTGTGGAGACACTGACAGTGATTCTGTTTGGGAGATGGAAACTGACAGAATGAGACATGGAATCACTGAACAAATTGATAACTAAGGAGCCTGAGGTACAGAGGGCTGGCTGGGCGGCTGTGCCATATGTAATGAAGAATGAGTGAATCAGTGCAGAACATGCGAAGAACAAGTCCCGAGTGAGCAGATTTCTTGTTCTCCAGCACTTTCTTCTATCTCTGTGGTTAGCTGCACAGTGGACTGACAGCTCTGAGGTCCATTCCTACAAGTCTCTGGATTGTTATAGGCTTCTCTTTACCATTGTGGCTTATTATTTTTTGGTTTCTAAATGCGCTGAGACCCAGAGGTAAAGTCACATTTCCCACTGGTGTGCCATAGGCTGGCACTTCTGGCTCAGCCTCCCTCCCACCCCCATCTTTTTGAGATAGGGTCTCCCTGTAGCTCCAGCTGACCTGGAACTTGCTATGTAGACCAGGCTGGCCTGGAACTCACAGAGCCTGTCCCCGGCTCACCCTTTCTATTGGACTTTTGATTTCCTCTCTGGAAAAAATTTGTGGCATCTTGATCTAGCAACTCACAAACAAAATTCAATATGTGCTCCTTTTCTGTAAAGAAGAAATTTTCTTAAGTTAATACTGTCTGTTGCTGCCAATTTAACCTTGATGTTCCTGGAGTAAGCCAGCATAAACCACGAATTGCTAAGGTAAGCACAGAGGAATTACATGAGACTAATTATAACGTAACCTACAACCCACTTCTTTTTGAGAGAGTATTGAGGGTGCCATCACTTTAAATATAGCTACCTGAAGAAAAATTTTCAATTTTACATGTGTAAGAGATGTCATGTTGTGACATTTTGTATTTATTTATTATAATTGATAAATAAAACAAGGGGGAAATAGCTAAAAATGATTATGTAAAATCTAAGAACTGAGATCATTAATCTCCCCATGTTTCAACAGTAAAATAAGGCAATGAAGAAGCATGACTTAGCTCTTCATTATATATTAGTGTCACTTATTATATTTACTCATGAAAGTGTAAAATGTATGCACTTATCATAAGTCAGCATTTTACAAATTATATGATAATAAGTACACATTTATATGTGTATTGCTTAAGAAATGATTTAAGTCTGATTCATGGAAAATAGTTGTAATATCATCACAGGTGTTCACAAAGTCTCCAACAAAATGAAAACCATCTTGAAAAATGATAGACATCTGTGGCGAGTTGGAATCACAAACAGCAAGACATTGAATGAAGAGATTGTTCATGTAAGTAAAGCATTTAAAGTGATCCGTCCATATATTTCTAATCTGAACACAAAGAATAGGAACCCTTCTGAAATGTTTCCTCTGCAAGTTAACTTAGCACCAGAGAGATAAGATGGGTAAGTCAGGAAAGTGGTTGGCAGGTAGCAGCAAAGACATGATTTAGATCCACCTCTCCCGTGTATAACACTAGCCATTTTAGCATACGCCTTCACCCCACAGTTTTAGAGATGAAGATATCAGGTTCTCTGATGAGCCATTCTATCCTAATTGTCAATACTAAGGTTCAGTGAGATGTGGAGTTATGTAGAACATTGTCCCTAAAGAACACCAGAAACTACAGCTCAGGAAAAACCCCATAGCGCTAAGAAAAATAACCAATTGTTTTATCTCCAGGCAGGTCCAAAAGTGCAACAGATAATGCAACAGAGAAAATCCTATAAAGGTAGAAGCTGTGTGAACACCTTATATCTGAAGTCACCGCACAGCAGTAACCAGATGTCAAACATACGTAAGAACAGTGTCAGTTATAAATTGGCTTTCACTCAGTGTCAAAGGCTTCATAGTGGGAGGATACCCTATGAGGGTAATGACAGCAGTAATTTCTTATTCAAGTCAAAAATCACTGCATGTCAGAGACATACAGGTGTGACGCCATATGAATGTAAACAGTGTGGAAAAGCCTTCTTCAAGGGTCATCTCACTGAACATCAAAGAACTCACAAAAAAGAGAAGTCCTATGAATGTAAACAGGATGGAAAAACATTCTTCCACGAGTCTAATCAGGGAACTCCGACAGGTGTGAAGCCCTATGAGTGTATGCAGTGCGGAAAAGCTTTCTCCAGGAAGTCTGACTTCAGTGTGCATCAAAGAATTCATACAGGAGAGAAGCCCTATAAATGTGAAAAGTGTGGAAAAGCCTTCATCTGCAATTCTCACCTCACAGTGCATAAAAGAACTCATTCAGGGGAGAAGCCCTATGAATGTAAACAGTGTGGGAAAGCCTTTTCAAATAAGTCTGACCTCACTGTCCATCAAAGGATTCATTCAGGGGATAAGCCGTATGAATGCCAACAGTGTGGAAAAGCCTTCTCCAGGAAGTCCCTGCTCACTGTGCATCAAAGAACGCATACAGGGGAGAAGCCCTATGAATGTAAACAGTGTGGGAAAGCCTTCTCCAGGAAGTCTGACTTCAGAGTGCATCAAAGAATTCATACAGGGGAGAAGCCCTATGAATGTGAGCAGTGTGGAAAAGCCTTCTCCAGAAAGTCTCACCTCACTGTGCATCAGAAAATTCATACAGGAATGAAGCCCTACAAATGTGAACAGTGTGGAAAAGCATTCTGCCACCCTTGTTCTCTCTGGACACATCAAAGAACTCATACAGGTATTAAACACTATGAATGTGTGCAGTGTGGAAAAGCTTTCTACCAAAAGTCTCACCTCACTGTGCATCAGAGAACTCATACAAGTGAGAAGCCCTATGTATGTGGTCAGTGTGGAAAAGCTTTCACCACAAAGTCTCACCTCAGTGTGCATCAAAGAATTCATACAGCTGAGAAGCCCTATGAATGTGAGCAGTGTGGAAAAGCCTTCTACCAAAAGTGTAGCCTCACTGTGCATCAAAGAACTCATACAGGTGAGAAGCCGTATGAATGTAAACAGTGTGGAAAAGCCTTCTGCAAACAGTCTTCTCTCCGGAACCATCTAAGAAATCACACAGGTGAGAGGCCCTATGAGTGTGAGCAGTTTAGAAAAGCCTTCTCTAAGAACTGTCAGTTTACTATTCATAGAAGGACTCATACAAGTAAGAAGCTGTATGAATGTGAACAATGTGGGAAAGCCTTCTCCACAAAGTCTCACCTCACTGTGCATCAAAGAACTCATACAGGGGAGAAGCCCTATGAATGTGAACAATGTGGGAAAGTCTTCTCCACAAAGTCTCACCTCACTGTGCATCAAAGAACTCACACAGGGGAGAAGCCCTATGAATGTAAGCAGTGTGGGAAAGCCTTCTGTCAAAAGTCTATCCTCACTGTGCATCAAAGAACTCATACAAATGAGAAGCCCTATGAGTGTGTGCAGTGTGGGAAAGCCTTCTCCATTAAGTCTGACCTCACTGTCCATGAACGGATTCATTCGGGTGATAAGCCCTATGAATGTCAGCAGTGTGGAAAAGCCTACTCCAAGAAGTCCCTGCTCACTATGCATCAAAGAACTCATACGGGGGAGAAGCCCTATGAGTGTGAAAAGTGTGGAAAAGCCTTCTTCAGGAAGTCTTACCTCATTGTGCATCAAAGAATTCATACAGGGGAGAAGCCCTATGAATGTGAGCTGTGTGGAAAAGCCTTCTGCCAACTGTCTTCTCTTTACACACATCTAAGAACTCATACAGGCGAGAAGCCCTATGAATGTGATCAGTGTGGAAAAGCCTTCTCAAAGAAGTGCCAGCTCACTGTTCATCAAAGAACTCATACAGGTATTAAGCACTATGAGTGTGAGCAGTGTGGAAAAGCCTTCTGCCACAAGTCTTCTCTCTGGACACATCAGAGGATTCATACGGGTGAGTAACTATTAATGTGAACAGTGAGGAAAAGCCTTCTCTAAGGAGTTGTCAGTTCACTATTTTATCAGAGAACTTATACAAGGGAGAAGACCTATGCATTTAAACTATGGAAAAGCCTTTAACAAGTGTCAGCTCATATGCATCAAAGAACTCATGCAAGGAACAAACCCTATTAATGTGACTGGTGTACAAAACTCTTCAGCAAGTCTAACCTCACTGTGCATCAAACAACTCCTACTGATGAGAAGCCCTGTGAATGTAAACAGTAGGGAAGAGCATCTTTCTCCAGGGTAATCTTATTATGCATCAAAGAACTCATACAGGAGAGAAGCCCCATGAGTGTTATCATTGGGAAAGCATTCTTCCAGAAGTGTAACTTTTCTGTGCATCAAAGATGCATGCATGTGCTTGGGTGAGACCATATGTACTCCATATATTCAGGAGCCTATGCAGGCCAGAGAGTGCATTGGATCCCCTGGAACGGGAGATACTGGTGGTTGTGAGCCACCATTTGGATTTTGGGAATAGAGCCCGAGTCTTTCAAGAGTAGGGAAGCTGGACTGGATGGCAGAAAGCCACAAGCTCCCCAGCTACAACATAAGTACATGATGCTTTTGGCTTCAGCATAGAGGTGGATATGGTCAACTTTCTTCCATTGTCCTGAATCTAAGTTCCTCTGACACCAGCCACCTCCATAATGCTGCCCAATTTGGACCCCAGGGAGATCAAAGTTGTGTAATGGTGTACACTGGAGGCAAGCTCAAACCTAGATTTGCCTTGGCTGCCAAGATTAAGCCCCTGAGTCTTTCTCCAAAAGCAGTTGATGATGATGTTGCTAAGGCAGCCGGTGATTGGAAAGGTCTGAGAGGATTACAGTTAAACTGGCTATTCAGGACAGGCCCAGATTGAGGTCATAACTTCTGCCTCTGTTCTGATCATCAATGCCCTCAAGGAGTCACCAATAGACAGAAAAACATTAAACACCATGGAAATAAAATACCGCTTTCGATAAGCTTGTCAACACTGCCTGACATATGTGGCACTGATCTTTAGCCAGAGAACTTTCAGGCAATATTAAAGAGATCCTGGACACTGCACAATTTTTGGGTTTCAGCATGAATGACTTGGTCATCCTTATGATATTGTACATGACATCAACAGTGATACAGTGGAATGCCCAGCTAGTTAAGCAGGTGAAACTATTTCAATAAAAGATGATCTGACATCTAAATAAATAAATAGGTGCATGCCTCCATGCCAGGTGTTTTCCATGACTTCTGGGGATCAAACTCAGTTCTTCATGCCTGTGGGCATACACTATACTGAATCTTTGAAGTCCTTTAGATGCAGGTCCTTCTTTCAGTCAGTCATCCCACCTGACAGAGGCTTGTCTGACTCAGTGTATCACTGGGACAGACTTTCAAGGCTGTTACTGAGTGCTAAGATAAGGACAGCTTAAAACCTCCCACAGGTCAAAAGGACATCACCCATGAGGGTGCCTGGAACAGATGCTCTCAAGTCTGAAGTTTGTTAGATTTAAGGAGAGCAGAATTGGGAAAGAGAACAGTGTTAGACCGTCTGTATTTAAGATTGCATTTATTCAGCACAGTGGGGGCGGCAACCTTCCCGTGGGCTAGAGGTGACTACAAGGAGGGAGTGGAATGGTCGGAAATTATATAGGAAACAGTTCTGGTGGGCTACTTCTGGTTTCTATCACTCTTCATGTCTACAACTAGTCAAGAGATAAGGCTGGTCACTGTGACCTTGTCTCTCCAAAGTTGACATTGTTTCATCTCCAGAAGTCCACATGACCTTTCCTCTGAGTATCCTGGGAATTCCCAAATACTTTTCAAGTGCGACCCAGATAAAACCCACACAGACATTTCTTGATGCCTGTGGGTAACCACTGTCTGTAGTACTGACTCCCACATTTTCCCACGTATACAACACAACTGTGATAACTAAGCTCGGCACTGGCTTCCTCTCATCAGCACCGTAATTATCATACATCTCACTGTTGTCCTCAAATCACCCAGTAGTTCCACATTTAAGCACTATGACTTTTGCTGTTCCTTTACTCCTAGCCCCTCCTTCCTGTTTTAAATTGTGCTGTTTTTTTTTTTTCTTCTTTTAGTCTTTTTTTCAGACCTGTAGCCCCAGCTGACTTGGAATTCACTATGTAGACCAGGCTGGCCTAGAAGTCAGAGAGACCACCTGCCTCTGCCTCCCAAGAGCTGGGATTAAAGGTGTGTGCCACCACGCCCGGCTGTTTTTTCCGTTAACCTCTGTACTTGTTGGTCGTCTTCCAGATCCGAGGTCATTAGGCTTTATTAGATGATACAGTTTCAACCATCACATCTGTGCCAAGAGTGGGCTCCCAGTGAGAACCTCTTCATGTCTAGTAACTTCACAGGCTACTGTACTACAATAACTAATCTCTACCCACTCCAAAATGAAAATGCAAATCAAGCCATTTATCCTTTCTGTTCCAATACCCTGTGTCAATCAGGAATGTCCAGAGGATATTCCTGATACCCCATCACAGCCCCAAAGCATTTCTAGGAAGAAAAGATGTTAACCATTTCTCAATGACTTGCTGATCTGTAGGAACAAAAGCCAAACATCAGAGCAGGGATAGTGGAGGGCACTTTTGATCTTGGCACTTGGGAAGCCAACTCAGGCTGATTTCTCACTTCAACCTAGCCAGTGATAAGACAATGAGACAGTCTCAACAAACAAGCAAGAACAGTAAAAGTCCAAACATTAAAGATAAATTCCCATGTTTGGTGGACAATCCCAATTACCTGAGTTCAGGACCCACGTGGTCGGAGAGAACTAACTCCCACAGAGGTGTTCTATGACCTCCACATGTGCACTGTAAGTTCTTTAAAAATTCCCTCAATCTCCAACAGTCGGATCCTTACTGCCTGAAGTCTGAGCCAGTGAATTGTTACCTCATGTAAATAGTGAAACCCAACTTCAAGGAGCCTCAGGAAACAAAAATGTGTTAGAGAATTTACTCCATCAAGATAGTGAGCTGCCCTATCAAACTCTGTTCAATATTCTATTCATGCCTGGTGTGGCAGTGAGATTTAAACATGACCTCTCCAAAAGCATGGCGGCTCAGGCCTTTATTCACAGCTGGGGGTAGGGGTAGGCAGGTTGATATCTTGGAGAGTAAAGCCAGCCTGGACTACAAGCAAGCTCCAGGCTAGCCCCAGGCATGTTAAAAAAAAAAAAAACATGGGGGCTGGAGAGATGGCTTAGTGGTTAAGAGCACTGGCTGCTTTTGCACAGGACCCAGGTTCAATTCCCAGCACCCACATGGTGGCTAACGACTGTAATTCCAGGAAATTCAATGACCTCTTCTGACTCCTTGGGCATTGCATGTCACCGATGCCCTTACACACATGCAGGCAATACACGCGTACACATAAAATAAAAATAAATACTAAGAGCAAAGGATCCCATTCCCTTGTAGCTGTGTGATTGCCTCTGAGCATTTGCCTGCTGTGTCTACAGTGTCTTCTCTCAGGGTGGCAAGAAGTAAGGGGGTCAGTCAACCTCCAATCTCTCCCTCTGAACACTGCTTCCCTTTCTTGAGGGATTTGTTTAGGGATCCAGTGGGGAGAGCAAGTTGACTCTAAAGCAGTCTCTGGACTTGACAAGCCAATTCTTATCACTTGTCTTGCTGTGGACCTGCCACACTGTTAGACAGGGGTGGCAACACTCCATGCTCCACAAGAAACAGTTTCAGGAGATTCTGGGAGCTGGGCTGAGATGGCTCAGTAGGTAAACACTTGCCAGGTAAACGTGAGGACCTGAGATCAAATACTCAGAATCTCCCTAAAAGGAGAATGCAGAATGCAAACGTCTGTAATCCCAGTGTTCCTATGAGGAGATGGGAGGCAGACAGGATCCTTGGGGCTCTCAGGCTAGCTAGTCTGGAATAGGCAGTGAAAGCAGCAGAGACACTGTCTCAGACAAAGGCAAAAGCACCTGAAGATGTCCTCTGAACTCTGCACCTGGCAACATTCACACATGAACGTACAGATGTGCGTGCACGCACCCACGCAAAGACTATGCATGACATCGTATATACACACGCGAGCAAATCACTGACTCAGTTTGGGGCTCAAACTTCCCATCCTTCCTCTTGTCTCAGCCTCCTGTTGATGGTATTGCAGGACTTTATCACCATGCCTGGTGTGGCAGTGAGACTTAAAATTGTTCAGACTCCCCCTCCTGTGATTCACTTTAGCGGTGTTGGGGACACTGAGAGAAAGAGGAAGTAGAAAGGGTGAGACTTCTGTGTACAGCTACTCCTTAAGTTCTCAGAGGCCACAAAGCATGGAAAGAGGTAGAGAGACAAGAAGGTAGAAAGAGCCAGTCTGTGTTTCATGCCTGTAAACACCTCATCTTGGAAGGCTGAGGCGAGAGGATTGCTATAGTTTGAGGCCAGCCTGGGAAATCCAGGAAAGACCAGGCCTTCAGGTCTCTGTCCAGTGAGGGAACAGGATGAGGCTGCATCTACAGAACAGCACAGCTTCAGAATTGTTTCCCTAATCTAAATCTATTCCTCATTCACTAGCCCTTCAACAGTGTTGGAGGGGAAATGGGGTAGTAGAGAAAGTGAACCAGCCTTCCAGAACCTGGTCCTGGACCCCGACTATGGTCTGTTCATCTGTGTGTGCATTTTGTTAACCCTGTCTGTCAGGAGCTCTGCACCTGTCTCCAAATCTTTTCAATCTGTAAATACTGAAATTCTCTCCTGAGAGTGCAGTATCTGCTCTTAAATGCTAAGCCATTTCTCAAGCCCCTAATCAAAATTCTAACTTAAAAAAGTTTCCAGCCAGTATTTCCTATAATCGCAGAACCTGAGAGCTGAGGTCAGGAGGATCAGAATTTCCAGGGCAGCCTGTGCTATGTAGCAGCAAGTTTGACACCATCTTGAGCTACTTAAGACTTGTTCTTGAAAAATAACCCGAAAAATGGTAGATTTTCCTCCCATTTTTAAAGCTGGATTAGGGGATTCTTTACTACAAAGCTCAAGGCTGCCTAGTCAAAACAGTGGAGCTGGAAATTTTTACATTCTTGTGATATTAATGTGTTCATTCTGAATAAGATGTATTTATACCTAAGTCTTACAGTGTTGCCTTCATAGTTGAGGTTAAATAAAAATGCTCAACAGCTGTTGGGATTGCCCAGAGGAAAATCTGCCTTAAAAACATGCAGGCATGAACTTATGATTTATTTATTTTATGTGTGTGTTCATGTATGTGCATACAGGCACATGCCACAATTCGCATATGGAGATCACAGGACAACTTGGGGAAATCATTTTTCTCCTTCCAACATCTAGGATCTGGTGATGGAATTCAGGTTGTCACTGTGGTGGCAACAGCGTCCACCCACACTGATCTATCTGGGAGGCCCTGGCTTGTCACTCTTCAGTTTCCACGAGTTGGTGCATCTCCTGTCACTCAGGGTCTGACAGGATGGGACCTGAATTTCTGATCCATTGGAGGCACTGTTTTAGATTGTCAAATCAGGTTCTCAGAAAGTAGGGGGCTGGCTTTTACATTCTTTGGCTCCACAGTCTGTCAGGAACCAGACACTCAGCTCTGTGTTCTCTTGGGGTGACCCAATGTTGCTGGGGAAACCAGTGAGGACACAAATGTCAAGGAACGTGGAAATGGTGAGCACACCTCTTACCAATCAAAAAAAATTCTTCAGCTTGGCCTCCCATTTTGACTTTGGACAAGTAGATTGCTTTTTATTTCTAAGTTAACACATTGTTCGCACACAGTGCAGTTAGAAAATTAAACGGAATGTTAAGGTAAGGGTGTGATATGTTTCCACTTCTTTGTTTTGCTATGTTCAGTTATTTTCTATTTTGGGGGGAGTGGAGTGTGGAATTGTCACTGTGTAGCTCTAGCTGGCCTGGAACTCAGAGACACTGGCCTGTCTCAGCCTCCTGAGTGCTGGATTAAAGGCATCTGTCACCACAATGGGCTTATTTCCACTTTGACTTGTATTTATGCGTAAGTGTTAAGATGATATAGTGGACATGCACAATGCAGAGCAAAAATTATCAATCCGTTGGATGGGCTCAACATAGCTCCCAGGTGTATTTTTTTCAAGTGTCAAAGATCCCAAGTGATCCTAACGCCCACCCCTTCCTACTCTTACATTCATGCATCTGTAAGATAGCTGCCTAGAACAGGTCAGTAGTGAAGCTCTGATCTCCCAAACAAAAGATACAAAACAAACATAGTTGGTCCCTCAGACCATGAGATATACGAACTATCTGGGAGACCTCCCCTCTCCCTCCTTCCATAAGAACACACCCCTGGCAGAGGCCAGTGCAGCCCAGCTGCCCTCCTGGCTCTGTCACACCACTGTTGTAACTGTCAGTGATAACAAAAATAACAAAGTACATAGTACATACACATCCAGCCTGAAGCCTGTGTGGCCCCTAAGCCTTTGTT